AGGTCTCCAGTGACCTTTTTTTTGGGCCTTCTCCAGTGAACTGCATTTTTACCAGCAAAGGCTTCGAAGAAGGTATTCGTTGCAAAGAGTCCAGAGGCGCCGTCAAACAAATTTTCAGGCTAGTGGCTTTACCACTGCCCTATGTTTGATTGTGCACTCCCAAAAAAAACTGTCAGGAGTCTGACCTTTGCACAAAAGGAAGGCCGCGAAAGGGAAACAAACCTTATTCGCAAAGAGCCGCAAATACGCTCCAACTCAAAGCGAATATGGACTTTCCATCAGCTAGCCAAAAAACAAAGTCTAGGGTCCAAGTCTCTCAATTAGCTTCCAAATTGTTTCCAGAGTTTTGGCCAAAGGGAACAGCAATGTTTGCTTGAGCTTGACCATTGACAATGAGTGCCAACAGTTGGCTTGCTGCAGGCCCAGGACAAACAACTGTTGTGCAAGGAAGTGCTGTGCGAATACACGCCATCCAGCTCCAACCGTCTGCTGAGATCTTTTCGGCATCCTCCATGCAGGTTGAGCACCTGACCAACACCTTGGAGGTCCCATATATGACTCGTGCTAGCAGATGAGGCTGCAGCGGCTTCACCCAAATTCTCAGTGTCAACCTCTCTCTCCGAGCACTTCCCCTCTCTTTCCGAACTTGGTCACTCCGTTCAAAAGTAGAAAGCCATCCCTTTCCACCCTTCTGAATACCTCGAGCAACATCAAGATCCTAGTCTGCAACAAGGGGTCCGACCAAGCAAAGGCACATCCACGTTTGATGAATCGAAGTCTCACAGTCCCAGGACTCTCGTGTGAAGCTTGTGCTGTTGGTTGGTTGCACGACAAATAGCCGAAGTCTTCACCAAGGCAGTTGAAGAGGTCAACTGAACACAGGATCGAAGGCGATCGTTGAAAGTACAGGCAACGGACCTGACATCGGAGAAAACAGGATAGGCATCTGAGATAAGCTTGCCTTGTAGAGTTGCCCCCCAAAAGCAACTCTCAAATTCATCTTGGCCCTGCGTGGCCACAGCCAGGGGCGCATGTGCCGACGGAGGCGCACGGCCGTGTGAGTCTCAGTCTTGTCAGAGAACCAAGTGAACAAGCTCCTCATAAAGGAATTAATGACTTTATCTTTTGCAACTAGCGCAGCGGCGAACAGAGGTAACAATCTTCAAGTAGCAAGTTGAGCCTAGCAGCCCTCTATCTTTAGTGCTTCAATCATTTATGCGAGCCGATGGACACGGTCTTCTTGGTCCTTCTACAGTAAGTCTTGGAGGCTGCAAGTATCAGTCGAAAGTCGCAAGAGAATGATACCGAAGTCTTGTCAAACGATAGCGGGCCAACCGGCACTGCAAAGAACGAAGAAATGACAAGACTGGGAGGAATGACTCATGTTGGGAGACCTGAGTTGAGGAAGTGAATGCCACATCGCAACAAGTGGTGAGCAAACTCAATCTCCACATACCCTGCATGAGCTGATTCTAGCACTTTCCCACCTTAAGGTTTTGATCAGTGTTTAGAATTGTTTAGAGCTCTTGGGTGCAGCTGTTTTTGGATGCTAGACTCAAAGGAGAAAACAAACCACTTACTATTTTGAGGTTTCTCGGGGCTACAGTTCCAAATGTCACTGTCAAAAGTGATGACGCTTGACTGAGCTGGCAAGTGAAAGTGAGTATGTGGTTGTCCAGATGCAACTCACTGGAAAAGAACGTCCACGAGGCCTGATTCACGCTTCTAGTGATTCTGGCATTAATGGCCGACGTCATAGAGCTCCAAGACTGAGAGTTCTCAAGGAGCTGCGGAAGTCTTGGACGTTGCAAGGGCAGGTGAACATTGAAAGAACAGTTGCCGTATTAGCTCGCATGCGACAAAATAGCTCAAACAACAGAGTGCACCAAATGCTTGGATATCACTTGGTTCAACTCATTCATGGTGATAGTGATTGCTCTGTAGTGTAAGTTTCATGCATGCCGTGAAGAAGGAGCCTGTGCCTTCAACGTCAAGGAGCCTTTCTCACGCATCGTGAGCGGAAAGCTATTGCAAAGCTATGAAAAGCTCTTCCAGCTGGCCCAGTTGGCAGGAATTGCTGCACACAAACACTGGCATGGCTTGCCTCAACCAGATTGAAGTTTGAACGCGTAAGGGGAACACGCCTCTGGTCTCTAGCCCTGAAAACCTGTTTTTCTGCTGTGCTTGCACCTCCCGACAGCACGAGCAATGTTGCTCGGGTGCCTTAAGTGGCTAGTACGTCATCACAAAGGCACAAAGTTCTGAAAGCAAAAAAGTGGAACGTCCTGCGAGGAAATAGGAATAGGACCGGAGAAGCTTAAGGATTCACCAGGTCTACCACCCCTTGCACTGGCAGGTGCGAGCAGCAAGCTTTGTGGATCCAGTTCAACACTTAGCGGTGCGACTCCTAAACATTTTCATGAGGCCTTTCGGGCAAGCACCTGGCAAAGAATATAGACCTGGGGCCCTACTGTCTTGCTTACACTCCAACTAATCCAATTCAACTTGGTCAGTCTTGTCGCGGCTTCATTGCATGTGGCGACTTGTGCTCGTGCAAACTGCGTGGATGGTCAGCGGTTTGAGATGAAACAGTGGCTTGTTTGAGCTTTATCCCGCAGCTGTGAGGCGCACGCCGTTGTGGGTTCAAGAACAGGCAAGCTGATTTCAAAACTATTCCGATGTGACGGAAGAAAGATACATAATATCATCCATTCCGGAAGCTGCGAAGCGACAACAAGTTGGCCTAGGCTTTGAGCGGTTGAGAAGTATGCACGCCAAGCCACGCTCAAGCTCAACGACCTGAATGACATCAATGTGCCCTCCATGCGCAAAGGTTCGCAGCCGATCTGACATGGAGCAAATGTGGATACATGTGGCACGACATGTTCTTAAACATGTCCCCAAAACCGCCAGCTGCAACACAACTGATCAGTCTCCAAGGTTGAGGCGGCAAGAATGGGAAGGGAGAGGTGGAAGGGACTTGAAAAGGCAGAATGGCATGATCCATAATGCCTTGACTTGATTATCTGCTCACTGCCCACCACACCAGCAGCTGCCAGTTCGTTTGCGAGGCAAACAAGTGGAGTTCACATGAGGCCTCATTTTACATTGCACCTGCAAGGCGGCAAGGAATCGTTGCCATTGCCGTGTTTATCTAGGTGTCATTTGTGACCATAAGTCCACGCTGTGTGCGAAGCGACCATCAGCTGAACTGCACAAAGTCCGGAGGCCGCGCCCTGATTGGAATCACTTCAATCATGCGTTCCCCTCTCCTTCAGCTGTCGGACAATTAGCCTCGGTCTTGACATTTGACAACTGTTATAAGAGGTTCGCAGTGTGAGGGAGCATAAAATTAGCTCATTTCGGCTCCTTTATAAACCGAGTCATCGTTTGAAGCGACACTGAGCGCAACAAGTACCAATGTTTTGAATCTTCGTCAGTTTTCGCTTTTCAGTGCCAAATTGTGGCTTCCTAGCTCATGGAACGACAAAGCACAAAAAGTCTGAAATTGAACTCATTGACCACCAGGCATCACAAGCATCAGCCAAACATTGCATTTCGAGTACTTCCATGCTGCGGAGGCAAAGCCTCCTGCTGATGATTGTCTTCACAACATCACAGGGACAAAAAACAAGTTGTTTAACATGTTTAACTGGAAGGTTCCATCAAAGTGGGATGTTCCATCCCGTCGAGGCTTCCATGGCACCGACCGACCTGCAAAGTATAGCGAATCTACAGCAGCTTGTTTCATAATTACCTGGTTTCTCTGCTCGTTCCGCTTATCAAATGCTTTGGTATACCATTCTGGCAGAATGCAATGACGCACTGACAAATGTATACATATCTGATTTATATAAGTCAAGTCAGTCCCTGGCCCTATTCATTGGATGCGCCTGCGCGCGGTTTGTCCTTGGTGAACCTACTGGAGCTGTTAGACAATGACACACACTGAAAGGCATCATCAGCAAAAGAAACTCACGACCGTCACAACCAAATCTGAAGCCAAAGTCCTCCTGCAAGGCCCATGCACTCAAACTTAGAACCCGGCAAAGTACAAAGAACAAATGAAACAACTGCGGGCAATGTGGTTTTGATTCACGTCTTTGCTTTGAGACTTTGGCAGCTTTGGCCACAAGCTAGGGTGAAACGCTTCAAATCACCCGTCAATTGTCGACCGACCAGGAAGGCTCGCCTGTGTTGGTGCGCGGCCCCTCTCTGCCACTCTGCGTAAATTATCCCCTATCCTATGTGCTGGATTGTGCTGGCTGGTTTTAGATGCGATGTCTACTTTGCCGTGAAGAAATCAATAAGCAGAATTGGTTGCGCACAATGCTGGAGAAATACCCACAGCCAACTTGCGTTTTGTGTTGAAAGGAGCCCAAAGATGCTCAAGGCTTGAAGAAGCCTTCTCATTCCAAGCGCCTTGAGGTAGAGGTGACAGGGCAAACCAACAGCATAGAGGCATAGAGTGGTCCTACCCTGCTGGGGCGCATCAAATGGTGCCACAGTGTGGGGCCAAGCTGCGAGGGAGTGTGTTTTGCCCTTGCATTGCGCTTTGTACGTGCACTGCGTGCCCCTTGCTTCAATTACCTTGACTGTCGCGTGCGCACTAGGCTCTACAGTACAGGTTTCTCCTGTTATATATATATATACAAATAGGTCGGCTTTAGCAACTTTTTGGACATATCATGAAATACACCTGAAGCATCAAATTCAGCCCCCCAAAAGGTGTTCAAGGATGGGAAGCGGAACATTTGCCAAAAGAAAGCTGATGAGAGATTACAATTGTTACAAGAATTGATGATGGCACCATATGCATCCTGAATTGCAGGTTGTGGTTGGCTTTTCGTAGTGTTGAATGCCTTTGTTTATGTGGTGGATGTGGTCCCTGGGGCCGTCTTTACTGTCAAAGTGGTGGACAACAGTCGTTGGCCAAAAAAATCAAGCAAAACTAAACGCCTGGGGAGAGCAAGCAATGGAAACACAACAAACTTTGCCTTTTAGGCATCGGAGTCTGAATCAACCTTGAACTCTTCAGGCTTGAAGGCTGTCCTCCAAAAGAAGTTTGCGGTTCTAGCTCGGAAGACTGCGAAAGATCCATGTGGCATCACTTATAAAGCACATACCAGCCCGTGAGCCTTCAACGGTGCTCAGCTAAACTGCGAAACTCAGTCCGGCAAAGGTAGTCACAAAAAAGTAGTTCAAACTCGTCATAGGTCAGAAAGCTGTCGCTGTCGGTGTCGTACCTAGGTGCATTTTTTTAGCCTGATGTGGAAGCCAGGGCCTTCCATGTCATCAATTTGAGGTGCTTCAGAGTGCTGCTTGACTTGACGCCTTTTTCAACGGTCGGGCTAATGAATTCCTAGTGGCTTTCTTGTCAACTCCCACACTTCCTGATACGTCGGGACTTTCTCGTCCATGACCTGCAGAATGTATCAGAATGTTGCATTCTGATCTCAATTTCCTGTTCGCACAAACAAAATTCGCCACCTGGCCCAACTCTACATAGAACTGCGAGAACTGGGCAATGCTGATGTAGCCTTCCTTAACATGCACCGCATGAGTTGCTCAAGTCACGCCGGGGCATGCATGCAGGTGAGCAGCTTGCGTCCCATCGATCCTAGGCTTGCAAACGAAGCGCCGGGATTACCTCCTTATAGAAAGCAACCTTAAGAGTTAAACAACCTTCCAAGTTTCAGATTCCACGCATCCCGGCTGAGGGCATCAATGTCGTCTAGCTTGTTCGAAATTAGTTCCAAATTCCTCAGCTCAATGCAATTCAGCAAACATGCTGCAGCACAGCAAAATTACAACGTAACTTGGCCTAGTTACGTTTGTCAGGTGGGTGTTACTTTTGGTGCCATGAGCCCTTGTGCGGGTTGGACTGTTGGGGCTTGGCTCTGTCACCCTTTTCTGGCACTGATATGATTTCTCAAAATGTATAACCTGGAAAATCGCAAGGCTGTTCGCTGTCCAAGATGCTTTGGCCTTTCCCGAAGCGCTGCTCGCACAGCATAAGAAACCTTGCACATTCGCTAATGTCGAAGTACAGGAATACTTTTGGTGTGGCCTCCTGCTTGTCAATATTGCCATCGCCATCTTGATCAAATGCACCGACTTCGCACGGAAATTCGAAACCTGAGAGATCCGACATCGGGAACTGGGACTCCGTGAAACCATCTGCGAATGTCGGCTGTATTCATTTCTTTTGCTGGGGCGTCCAATGGGTTTGCCCGAAGCGAAATAGGAGATGGGTCTAGGCAAACAGTGATTCTTTGGGGAACTGCAATAATATCATCAACCAAACTAATTTGGCGAATGAACTAACCGAAAGGTGTCCTGTGGCTGACGTTGTAGCAAGCAAACGGTTGGTAAAGTAAGGGTTGGTAACCGCTAGCCACAGAAACCCTGACGCAGCCCCTTGGCCTTTCACCAACCTTCGGGGCTGTCATGTTACAAACAACAAGTCGAACAAACGTGAAGATGGTGAGGGTTGGCCCTTCAAAATGACCCCGCAGAAAACTCAGCCAACTAAGTTGCGATTTTCACTAAATAACCACAAAAACAGTTTGGTTGCGCCAGTTTTGAAGTACCAGTATCAGCCCACAAGTCCTCAAAAGTGGCAGGGTGGTGGTCGAAACGAAACAGTTTTAAAAGTTGGTGGTGGATCTAAAGTCCTTCTTAAGTGCTCGGTAGCGCAAGCTTGCACACCGTTTCAAGCACTGGTTGGTCTGTGGTTCAGCCTCTTCAGGCGACCTTTCCCCCCCAACCAGCAAAGCTTGCTACGTGTACTGCATGTATTGATCCACCGTGGTCTCGCCAACACATCTCCGGAGTCATGGAGATACCTCTGCACCGCTGAACTCGACCATCGCCCGGTGCGCTTGACCAGCTCGACCTCCCCGGTGGCCTGGTCAAGGGCCGAAGCTTCCCCAATGCGCAAGGCTTTGGCGCTCTTCTGGAGGATGTTCTGCACTTCCAAGCGCTTCAGCATCGGGCCTGGCGCCCAACGAGACAAAGGAAGGTGGCGCTCTGGTCCATTGCCGAACCTGGGCGGTGCCACTTCCTTGAACTGCTGCATCGACTCGACGACGCACACGAACTCCTGGCCGGTCCGAAGCATCGTCTTGCAGGTAGCGAAAGCCACTTGATCCGCTTTTGTCTTGCAGAACTGCAGGGTGATCTCTTGCGGGTTCACCTCGTCCGCCCCCCCTTTGTAGTCAGCGCCACGTCCATGCCGCGAACCTGGTCAATGCCGTTGGAGTCCGCAAACTCTCGCGCCCTGAGCATGAAGAACCAATGCAGCATCCTGCAATCGACCTTGAGGTCACCATATGCTGCGCTCCCGCCCTGTAGGTGCTTGCCGATCCACTTCAGCATGGCTGGGAACGGTCACCAAGCCTTGTCGGTTTCTTCAGTGTCTGGCGCTCCATGGAGTTCAACACGATCCAGAGCCGGTGCATACGGTTGGTCAGGTCACCGTGTCCTGCTCTCTTGCGCGCGTCCTTGATTGCGAAGACCGCCTGCTTCATCGTGGCCACTGAGGTTCCAAGCCATCCCAGGTAGTCGAGGTAGCCGAGCATCTTGTTCAGAGGAGGTCGCCATTGTAGTCAAGGCAGGGAGATGCCCAACCTTGCCTTCGCCCCCAATCGCGGCCCCAAGTTAACGAACTTGCCCCCGACCTCGACCGGCTTCTTCTCCTTGACTCTGCGGCCTCCACATCGACAAGCATCTTCGACCTCGATGCTTGGAGCCATAGATCCTCACCCCAAAACCAGACAGCTCGATCCCCTTCGCCCCCGGCTCGCCTGTCTCGGGCTCCTGCGGAACTCACCCCTCCTCCATCGCCTCAACCACGTGAGAAGGGCGCCCAGGGACTTGAGGTCCTCCTTCCTGGTCGATGCGCGTGCCGGCTTTGGAGTTCTTGTCCTCGACCTTCGCCAGCTCAGCTGCGGCCCCCAGCAGGCTCAACGCGGTCCTGCGACCAGTGGCCTGGCACCCTTCCTTGCAAGCTGTGCGGTCACCCATCTCCTCGACCTTTTGGGGCCACATCCGCACCACCTTCATCCAGCAGCGCCCATCGACCTGGTCCTCCCAGTCGATACACTCCTTCCTCCTCTAGCCACACATGCCCTGCCACCCCGGGCAACATCACATCATGGCCTGGGTTGGATGCTTGTTCATAGCGCGCGAAGTCGACCAAGTCCCACGGCTTCGCTGGTCCGAGGTACGAACCAAGGGAAGGAGGAGAAACGGTCTTCACCAGGAAACCCTCAATCTGATCCTTGTCATCATAGTCGCTCTGATGCAGGAACACTGCACCACCCACCTATCCACTAAAGCTTTGGAAAGGTGATGTCGCTGTGCCATGTGGTTTTGGAAACTTAGACAATCATGCAAAAAACACATTCAATCAGCTGCTCAGCTGCAGAACGAAGAACATAGAACATGCACCACGACCATCCACACATGAAAAGGTATACATATATAAATATTTTATTTTTTATATATATATAAACTGCAGATTTCCTGGCAGGCGCAGCGCTTTGTGAAGCTTGAAGTGCAGATTTTGTGCGGAAACCTGGGAAGAGCTTCAAAACCGAAAAGTCGCCCAGGAAGATTTTAAAACCTCCAGATCAAAGGGTTCTTCCTTTTCCCTTTACAAAAACTCTTTTAAAATAGTGATTCTTCATTAGACTAACCACTAAAGCTTTGGAAAGGTGATGTCGCTGTGCCATGTGGTTTTGTGCCATGTTGATGATATATGATAAAATGTTCTATGTTACGTGTTGACATGCAGACTCGGCCGAGTTATGTGACGTGTTCTGATTATATACTATCCTGGTATCATGAGAAAACTTTGCGCATTCATGGTTGATATATATATATATATAAATCTCTCTCTCTCTCTCACCTCGCTGTTTCTAAGTTCCTTGTTCAGCAGGGTATGTTGGTTTTTTCGTTGACTATACACATAATTTGTGACGTTTTAAGTTCCCAATTTTGGGATGTTCTAAGTTCAATGTTCTGAAAATGTTCTAAGCGCACGTCAAAAAACTGACATTCCCAAGCCATGTTCTAACTTTCACTAAAACGTTATAAACTTAAATTTGTTTTCGTTCATCCCTTTCCAGGAAAGAATCAGGGCGCGCAAGAAGAAGGTCCGAGGATTCAACTACTCTCAGCATTTGGAGCTTTCCCTGTTCTCGGACAAGACTTTGAGTGTGGCGCTGCCGGAGAAGCCACGCCAAGTCTACTCAGGTTGGTCATCTGGAGATTGCATTGGCTTCGTCACTGCGCTGCCCGCCCAGCTGTGGAAGTTGAGCAGGACACGAGCGCGCGACTAATAAACTGTTAATTATTTTTTAGAAATAAGTTGACAAACGGTCCTCGCTCCCTCACTCCCCGGCAGGAAAGACAAGGTGGAGATGCTGAGTGCCAAGAGGACGATCTCAGTGGATGGCACCAAGGACGAGGATCAAGAGACGTGCTTCAGCTGCAGTGTGGCGCCCTCGGAGCTCTACATTGAAATGATTCATTCCTACTGCGGCGCCTGCGCGATCTCCGCAGAGATTTGCGCTGGACAGAGCAGAACGCAATCTCACCTGCATTTCGCGCCCTCGACGCGCGCGATCTCCGCAGAGGGTTGCGTCGGACACAGACAAAACGCGCTCTCGCCTGCATTTCGCGCCCGCGACACGCGCGATCTCCGCAGAGGGTTGCGTTTCGTGGTGCTCCGGCGGCACCGCCCCCCGGCCTTAAGAGAGAAAGTAAGGAAGAGCGAGAGGTGAAGATGTGAAATGTGCAGATGTGAGGATGTGAAGATGAGCTGAGATGTAGATGTTCAGATGTGAAGATGAGAAAATGTAGATGCGCAGTGATGATGTAGATGTGAGGATGTGAAGATGAGAAAATGTAGATGTGCAGATGTGAGCCTGTGAAGATGTGAAGATGAGCAGAGATATAGATGAAAATGTAGATATGCAGAGGTGAAGATGTGAAGATGTAGATGAGACGTAGTTCTGCAGATGTTTTTTACGAAGAACCCTTCGCAGGCGCTCTCGGGAAAAAAAAGCAATCATCAAACCCAACGTCAATCACATAAGCAGAAGCGGTAGGAAGCACTTGCACAGGTGAACATTCTTTATCTGCTGAGGGGCTCCTTATCGACTACACACAGTAGGCGCGGGCACCAAGAAAGTACGGTCCGCGATGTGAATGCTTGTTCAACCCCGTGAATCTGTAAAATCGATGTTTCTATATGATATGCAATACGCAAAGCGACAACGGCGCCCCGTCCCAACTCCCTTGTAATACCCACCAGCTGCTGCGAAACCTCTGTCTTCTAGTTTGCCTAAGTGCACGACGAAAGCGGCAAGCGCTCGTGCCAAGCAAAACGCGTTCTCTATCTTCTCAGTCCTCGGCTTACCATTGACTTGGCTTCGCTCATGTCCAAAGCTTGGCTGCCGTCCACATCAACTTTGCCGAAAAGGTCATCTATCTCTTCCTGGCAGGTGGGTGCGTGGCTATGCATCCCCTCGCAATGCGTCCCCTCGCTATTTGCGCTATTTCTGGCCTGGATCAGGGCATCCAACTTGGTATTGCAATTCTGCAAGGAGATCTTGAACCTCTGCAGTTCTGCCTTTCAAAGTAGCATGCTCGGAAACATGAACACCTGAAACAAAGGCTGCAAATTGGAATTGTCGCCGCGTATGCCTGCCTCGCCTTGGCTTTAGTAGATCGACCGCAGCACATTGTCTCCAAACCATTTCCCATTACAAAGCCACATGCAAGTTTGTTCAACAATCATGACAATTTGAGGCGCGATTTGTGTTCCAAATGCCACATGGTCGACCACTGCCAAAAAAATATGACTTTGTGACTAAAAAGGTGGCGTGTTAGCGTGTTCACCTGGCATGGCCTGGCGTGCATTCCTGGAGCCCGTGCAGTATGTACGCGAGAACGGGAAAGATAGAAGGTAGGAAACAATATTTTCAAATAGAAGAAACTGACAACGTCCGGAGAATCTCCGTGGACGGCTTTTTTCCGATTTCGGGCACATCAAATAGATACTGCCCAGCAAAGAGAGTTCAATCAGAAGAAAATGACAACTAATTTCAATTAGAAGAAACTCTTCTGTTGTGGAATAAATTAGTTGTATAAATATCCCTTTTGAAATCATGCTGGAAAGCGTTCCAGGGACATTTCAAATAGAAGTAGAAATTCAATACCAGCGATTTCCAGCATGCTGTCAAACAGAAGGTATGCATCAGCAACGCCAGCCCGCCAATTTTGGGTCAAGTGAGATGGCTGGCCTGGCATGGGAAATTTCACCTTTGAGGCACAGATGGGATGCTAGAGAAACAAAGGGACGCTAGTAGGTTGGAGGCCGTCGCTCTTAGGTTGGAGGCCATCGTTACTAGCTACTA